CCTGGGCTGTGGGTGGTCGGGGTTGAGGTGCAAAAGGTTGAAGAGGTCCCGGAGGGCGAGCTGGGTTTTGGAAATACCAGGGAGGATTAGCGGTGGAAGGGCGGGAGAAGGCGGGGCGGACGGGGGGCCGCGGCCGAGAGGTGGGAGGGGGAGGGGTAGCCGGCTGTATCGCGTGCAGGACACTAGGACCGATCTTGGAAGCAATCCAGTCCAGATAGTCCCAAGTCGCCGTGTAGATTCCGGGGCGCTTAGCACGAGCACAGCCTACCCCCCAGCTCGTGATCCCCACAACCACGAAGGGGCTATTCGCATTGTCTCTGCACATGAGAGGCCCGCCGCTGTCGCCCTGCCCAAAGGACAGAGCAGTCACTTCTGAGCCCCTCTCCCTGCGTGGGGATCATGGGCTCTAAGAGGACAATTTCTCCAGCTATGTGGTTTCCTGATGCCAAGAACAGATGGCTGTGGTAAACCTTGAGCTGGTGCTACAGCCTCCAGCAGGGTGCCAGAGGGATACGGCTAGTGTGGGCTCCCCGCAGTGAGGAGTTGAGTGGGCCATGGTGCATACATGTGGCTGAACACAGAAGCATGTGTGACTGGATGCTTTGTGTTCTGGGGAGGGGAGGCAGACACTCTCTCCAGGGACCAGGTTCAGGTGATGTATCCTTGGTGCTAAGTTCTTGAGTGCTAAATATGGTGACAGATCTCTGTAGGGGTAGCTGGTGGGTGTCACCTCCAGTTTTCATTGTGACTATTGATGCTGGGAGAAGGGACCAGGGAAGGGGTCACTAAAGTAGAGCTCTTGGCAGGAAGTGGAGACAGTGAAGCTTAGGAATCCAAAAAGAAGTCTTCAGGGCCTGGGGAGCCTTGAAGGGACCCACGGGTGGAGGGTTACCTGGCATGTGTCGATCTTGCCTTCTGGATACCCTGCGCACACGTTGGTTGACATGACCCGCCCATTGTACCACTGGGTCGAGTTACACAGGTCAAGGTCGATAAGCTCCACACGGGCCTCCAGCAGCACAGGCGATGGCCTGGGGGCTGCAGCCAGGCCACAGAGTGGTCAGTAATCAAGGAAGACACAGAAAGAAGCCCTGCCTCTTCCCTCCAAATTCCCATCCACCAATGCTCTGGTTGAACCTAGATCTCTCAGCCAGCATCCCACCGTCCTCATGTACTCCTGCACAATGAAAGGAGATAGGGTGGAGGTGGAGACCTGTCACCAGCAGGAGGGGCAGGGTGTGCGAGTATGGGCTGACACAGGTTAGTTGTAGCCAGTACTCATTTGATCTACATGGTCCTATCGTTCTCACTTTGGATCTGGAGCTGGAGCATCATCCAGCTACAGTGGGGATGTGGGGGCCTGAGACCTGGCCAGGATCACCCCTCTCTCCAGACCCAAATCTGAGGCACATCTTCCATACCCCACATTCTGGCAAGAAATCATCCTCCCTGCTTTTCCTCCTTTGTCTGAGCTCCTCCTGAGTTGGAGACAGGATCCTCTGAAACAGGAGTGATTAGCCTTTCCCCAAGTGCTTCAGACCTGCTCTGAGGAGAATTTATGAAAAGGAGAGCTGAGTAGGGATCACCTTCATAGTCCCAGACTCCATCATGACCTTGAGGTTAGGAAAGGCCAGCTATGCTGCAGCTCACACAACCAGTTTACAGCTGGCTCAAACAGCCCCAGAACCAGTGCAGCTGTGCCTCTTCCTCAAGTGCGGACAGCAGGGTCCCAACAGCAGCAGATGCACTGGTCTCTTCCCACACAACCCTGAAGCCTGATGGGTGGGTCTAGAGTTTGCAGCACCATGTGGGAACAGCCCAATGTAGGGCAGACCTGGGTAGCACCTGGGTAGCTATACAGGCCTAATGATAAACTAGGAGACGCAAACAGCTACATGTGCAGGGCTGAGTGTGCAGCTGGCATTCAGTAGTTGACTGCTGAATGCATGTTTGCCAGGATTTTTTCTGATCCAGGCATCATGGGAGTTTTGAATGTGCCCTGCCTTTGGGACAGTGGTGACTCTGAGATAACAATGACAATAATACTGGCTTGTCCACCATTACAATGACTTCTAAAATCTATGGCAGGACCCATAGGCGTGAAAGCTATGGGCCTTATTGTGAAGAACCAGGTGTCCTGAAACAGAAGATGGTTTTCTTCATCCTGGCTCCTTAGCTTTAAGTTACAGACACAAAAATCTTACAAGAATTCAAAATTCAAGGGAATGAAGCCACGCTCTAGGGGAGCTCTTCCAGTCCCAGAGCAGATGAATTCAAGGAGGAGGCAGAAAACAGAAAGCTTGAGGAAGTCACAGAGTTTGGAGCCTGGCAGCTTTCTCAAAGACTTGGGCTTAGAGGTTGGGGGATGTGTTTAGAAAAACAAAATGACAAAAAGTGAAAAAGGATGAGAGATTGCTCATTACATTTCCATGGGGACTCCACAACATCCAAAATGTAACTAGAAAGCTACAGCTCTCCCGAGGACAGGATGGTGGTGGAGTAAGAGACCCTGAGATCAGCCTCCCAGGAACTACAAGAACCCTGAGCTGTGAAAACTATCAGAGAATGGATAGGAGGTGGGACAAGAACAATGCTATTCTTACTCTGGGTGCCAGGGCAGAGCCACAGGCATCAGCAGCTGGGATCGGTGTAGGAATCCCAGGCCAGGAAGCAAAAGTCACATGTCAGCAACAGCCAGAAGGGTAGCTTGGATGAGACCACCTTCCCTGAGGGATAGGGCATGTGACAAGCCTCTGGGTACACTACATCAACCTCCCTGGGGAAGGGGAATGTGAAGAAATGGAATAATCCCAAAATCATTAATTTTGTACTATGAAAAAGACTGAATTTTAAATGTCAAATGACCGAATTGCCTTGAATTCAGAAGCCTACATTTTTTTGTTATGAAAGAAAGAGAAAAGAAAGATAACTAAGTTAATTTCAGTCACATTTTACATACCCCTAGTGTGACTGGATGAAAACTCACACAGCCACCTCTGAGAAGCTAAAAACATGAGTCATGTGACAGACTAAGCTCCAACTTCCAAAACCTTGCTGTCCATTTCTGCCACCTAAGGGAGTGACCTGTTGCTTCTGGAATAAACAGTGCCTCTAGACTTGGAGTATGTGGGGAGGGTAGTGGGACTCCAACCATCACTGTGGAGTCAGTATGATGGGACCACACCCGGGTCCTCCATAAGCTACTCTGCTATGGAAAAGATTCCCCTATTCACTGCCCATCTGGTGCCAAGTGGCCTGTCGTACTGAGTTGGGGAGACATCTAGGCAGGCATCTTTGCCGAGGACAGAGAGGTATAGAGAGGCAGCAGGCAGCTCTCATCTTGAATGGTGAGGGACCTGTTAGCTCTGAGGGGCCTGAAATACTAGGATAGCTATGAACTGCCGAAAACCATACCCACAGCTGCTTCCCTCCCAGGCTACACAGAAAACTCCAAGAAACTGATGAAAAGGATGGATGCTGATGCTCTGACTGCCCAAGGATGGGGAGCCCAGGAGCCTGCCATTGCTGATGATGGATAGACTGCCCCGGACTCTCAGAGGCCAGGATGTTCAACTGGACATTCAGTACCTGTTAAAGATTCCGTCTGATCTGACCCTTCCATTTACAGATCAGAAAAACTAGCCCACTGCCACAGAAACACAACTAGACCACTTCTTCAAATGCTTTTCAGGGTGTCCCAATTTTCCAGAGCTCCAGGCGCCAAAATCAGACACAGCCTGGACCCCATTCGGAAAAGTGCACCTGTGTTTGGCCTTCCCTTGGAAAGCCACTAATTCATCGAATCCCATGACCATGGACAGGGGACTCAGCTTCTCTTGTTTCTCCAGTTAAGCGAAGGCATTGTGCTGGGCTGTATGTGTGGTGCCATGATGGAAACTGAAAACTGCCCAGCCAGTCATCGCACACGAACCCTGTACCTCACTGGCTTATTCCTATATTCAATTTTCTGTGCACCAAAAACTAGAATCCAGTCAGACTTTTCTGTGGGCACAAAGGCCATTCTCCCAGACTGGCTGAATAGGAGTTACTGGTGAGTGTCACCATGGGGACCCTCCCTTAGGGCCCTCCCCTCTTGGATGACCAGCAATGCCCTGCTCAGAACCCCTCCCATACTCACCATTCTCTTTTATGTACCCCCAGCCAGCCACGTAGCAGGTCTGGGGAATTTTGGGAGGGCCTGCCTTAAAAGTGGGCAGGCAGCCTGGCCCAATGAACTGCCCACATGAAACAGCAGGGGTGATCTTCAAGAGAGCAATGTCATTCCCTTCATTCACAATGTTGTATTTTTCATGGATGATGATTTTCTCCACATATCTCTCCTGCAGAGGTGCCCGCACTGGCTTATTGTTCCCATATTCAATTTCCTGTGCTCCGAAAACCAGTCTCCAGTCATAGACTTTTCTGTGGGCACAAAAGTTATTCTCAGACCGGCCGGACCGAAGTTCTAGGGACCGGCTCCCCCCACCACACCCCACCCAGCACACGCTCCCACACATACTTTTTGCTGTCGAAGCAGTGAGCTGCTGTGAGCACCCAGTGGGGATTCAGCAGGATGCCACCACATGCGTGGTACCTGCGGTTGTTGTGAGCCATGAAGATCTGTAGGCTAACCATCCAGGGCCAGGCCCCAAGCTGTGCCGTCTGCCCTCCGATGAGTCGGACGCCCCCTTGTGGGTTCTGCCTGAACCGCAATCCACAGGGGCCACTGAGGAGAAACCAGATTTAGCTCGAGCCCATCCTTATCTCCACACCTGGGCAGGAAGAAATATGGGATTGGGAAAGGTGGGAAATATCTGTGAAGTTAGGACAAGGCAGCCTGAGGTGTGCAGGAATCCAGAGACTCCAGGAAATGGTTTGGGGATTGTACAGGGACCAGAGGTAGGAGGGCTGTGGGCAGAACGGAAGGCTAGAGCTGGGGTTGAGGGACTGGACGTAAAGGGATCTAATAATCTGGGGTCTTCAGAGCCACTCTGGGGTGAGAGAGCCTGGACACAGAGGCAGGTAATGAAGGGGTCTTGGAGATGCACTGTTAGGTTAGACAGTGAAAGGAGGAGAGTAGCTCCAAGCAATGAAGCAGTCCATAGGCATGGGGTACACTAGGAGCAGTGAGGGTCCAGAGCTGGAAGTTCTGAGCCCTGTGTCACAAGCAGGGGGCCAGTAATTTAGGATTTGCTGGCATATAGGCTCCCTTGGGGGTGAGAGGGTCTACAGGTGAGTGGAGGTACTAGAGGATTTTGGAGTCAGGCTAGAGTGAGACACCTCATCTACCCATGGGAGCTGTCTGTCAATGTCTGAAAGTGGTATAGTCAGTTACCAGGGAAGTGGGGGACACAGATCTAGGAGGTGAGGAGTCCCTCTAAGGGAAAACTAGACAACTGGGTACTAGCAAGCTCTGGGCTGGTGGTTCTGAGAGCAAAGAGCCTGTGCTGGCTATGTGGGTCACAGGAACTGAAGGATCCAGGGTCCAGGGACTGCTAAGGCTTAATCTTGGGGTCCCTACCTCTGGACAGAGGGAATCTGGGTGGGACCTGCTGTTCAGAAGACACCCTCCCCAACCAAAGTCCCCTGAGACTTACTCACAAGTGCTGTTATCTTTGGCAATCACAGACACAGCCAATATCAGCAGAATGGCAGTTGGCAGCATCTCCACCATACTCCTGCTCCAGCCAGACCTACACGCTGTGACCTCACAGAGCTCCAGGGCTTCCTGGCCAATCGGCACAGCCACCCAACCACCATCCCCACCCCCACCCCCAGACAAGCCAGAGGGCTCCTGGGTTTAACTGATTCCTGCTGTGGTGACTTTCTCACTTGCTGGACGCCTAGGGTGATGGAGACTTGTGTAGTACAACCCCATTCCCTCCATCTCAAGGCCGAGGTCCTTGCTGAAAATTATTGTAAGGAGCCACTCTGTGGAGATTCAAGGTCTGCCCCTTTCTGAGCTATAAGCATGGCAGACTCACAAACTAGGGAGTAGTTGACAAGCAACACATCCATAGTTCAAAGGAACCTAGTTCAGCAGATCAATGGATCCTTGACACTTAGTAGAGGAAACATATTTTTCAGTCTTCCACAAGTATGCTATTATTATAGATAGCTAAATTAGGTAAAAATATTACAGGCAGCCATTTAGGGCTGGGTCCATGATAGAGTCAGTACAAAAGATAAAAACACCTTACAACTGTGGCCAGAGACACATCTGTTAGAGACCAGGCCTCAATATAAAGACAAAATGACCAGTAAAGGTGTAGCAGAGTTGGGAAGGGTAGGGGAAAGGAAATAAGGGAAAAGAAAAAATATGAGAAAAGGAAAAAATGGAAGCAAAGTCTCTGTAAATAGGGAAGGGTGGAGGAGTGAAGGGAGCGCAGGGGTGAGGGGAAAAAATGAGAACCAAGATCTGTCATGTAAAGGTACAGGATCCCAATGATGAATGCAACTGTACTGTATGCTTAAAAAGTACCAATAAACTCAATGAAAAAAAACCTACACACTTCTCCAAAGGACAAGATAAGTGGTAATGCCTGACCTAATGAAGTCTAGATAAACATCAGTCACACTGGTGGGAGACCAATTATTTCCAACCTAAAGTCTGTTCTTTCCATGCACACTTGCTAGGTGATTGTTCCCCCACTGTACCATTATTATGATCACTAAATGACTATAGTTGCAAACTTATTGGTCATTCATAGCTTTAACCCACATTGCACCCATAGGGTTTTTCTCTATAAAACTTCCCCTAAAAAGTGGGGTCCTCAGCTACTCATCAGGACCCTTCCACCTCTCAAGAGCTATCCTCTCAATAAACATTTCCTACTCTTAATCTTCATTATTCCTAGAATTCATTGTTTGATTTAAGAGAACATGAACTCAGTGTATCAGACATCTAAAAGGTTAGAATTATAATATTTCTCATATCATTTGGAAGTCCTATTTCATCTTCGATATCATCCTGTCTCATCTTGGAACTCCCACAGAGATAACTGGAAGGAGATAAGAGTCTGCTTTTGTTTTATGAATGCTCGATTGTGCCTCGCTTGGGTAACCAAAAGTATATGCATTGAATTTTTATGCCTGTTTCTCATTGTCTTTTTGTTATGCATTGTCGTTTTGTTAAAATGGTACATTGTCTTTTTGTTAAAATGGTGATAAATTTAAGTTGAGAACATGTAAAGATCATGCTTTGCTTTGAAATAAGACATTTTAACTTTTGTGGACAGGTCTTATATTACTGTTTTATTTATGCTACATTTAGACTTGCTTAACCCGTTTCCTGCTTTGACTGGTTTGGCTCAGAAAACGCTAAGGAAAAATAATGTTAGCGTGCCACCTAGTGGATTTTGGTACTAACTACAGGTGAATTTTTAAATGCTGTAAAATGGGTCCTTTTACAGAATCTAGTTTATATTTTTAAAACATACATGCCTATTAATAAATCACCATTTGCCAGTTAAAAGGCAATAGGCCATAAACCATTCTTTTTTCCAATATTTTATTATGAAATATTTCAAACATATGGAATTGTAAGTCACCAGTCATACAGGATGCTGTCACTATGCTGTTTCCTTCCCTCCACGCGTTTCAGAGATTGCTGCAGACACCTATACACTTCATTCCTGAACACACATATGCGTCTCGCTAATTTCAGTTAAAGATCTGATTTTTTTTTTAAGTAAAATTGCTGCGTAAGGTGCAAACGTTTGACAAGTACGCACTCCTATGCAACCCTCTCCCAGGGCAGAATCTCACTGCGCCCGTGGGAAGTTTCAGCGCTCTTTGTCATCCAGCGCTACCCACCCACCCGAGGAGCACACACCCGGTCGCTGCGCTGGAACTCGCCCTGCCCGAGTCCGCCGCGCAGTTCTGTCTGCCGGATGTGCCCAGGGCTCCTCAGACGACCATCAACCATTCTTGAGACTTGGAGGGCGGGTTTCACCGAGACTGATTGGCCCAATCCTCCTCTGTAGTCTGCAGGAAATGTCCAGCCTGTTCTGCCTCCGTTTCCTTTCTGATCTGAGCTTCCACTCAGGAGGAGGTAATCGTGGCTCCTGATATTCCCTATTCTCACCTTCCTAGACTGAGAGTGACGACTCATCAGCAAGTTGTCTCAGTAACTCGACATGACATGAAAAAAGACTTCCTTTTTCTGATCTCATTTCTGATCTTTCCTGCCACTGTATAGTTTCCTTTTTAGAGGCATACAGGCATGTAAGGTTAGAGAAAGAGAAGATCTCTGAACTCTGAACTGCCCCAACCATTTCCATCTAAGAACTTCTTTTTTTTTTTTTTTTTTTTTTTCCAGACAGGGTCTTATTTTGTAGTTCAGGCTGGCCCTGAACTGTGTAGCCCAGGTTGGACTTGAACTCACTGCAATCCTCCTTCCTCAGCCTCCCAAGTGTTGGGATTGACAGGCATGTGCCACCATGCACAGCTCCAACTAAGAACTTTTAAGAAGAGCCCATAAAAAATGAGCGTTTGTTAACACCAAAGACAGAAAAGTCATTTTTTATTAAAAACAGCTCAGGCTTTTATCTAACCCTTATAGAATGCTGAACCAGCTGGGTGTGGTGGAACACTCCCATAATCCCAGCTCTCAGGAGGCTGAGGCGGGAGGATTGTTATGAGTTCAAGGCCAGCCTGGGCTACATAGCGAGACCCTGCCTAAATAAATAAATATTTTTAAAAAGAACTAGGGCCATGGATTTAGCTCAGTGGTTCCACTGCCTGCCTCACAAGTGCAAGGTCCGGAGTTTGATCCCCAGTACTAAAAAGGAACAGTGGTTACTCTGCCAGCTAGTAAACACTCTTAGAGCAGCTGCCACTCTTAAGCAGAGGATAGGTTTCCCTAGCTAGCACCTTCCCGTGAATCCCCACTGAAACCAGACAGGCAGCTAGATTCATTTCCAGAGACAGATCTCTGGTTGCCTAAACCACTAAAAGGCTGAGAGGAAAGCAAAGGGGTCATGGCCAGGGTGACTCTCTAGCAGATACCCAAAGTTTTATCCTCAGTGGAAGCTGGGTCCTGACAGCCCAACTGGGTAACCAGCAGAAATCTCCACCTATCCGCTATTCCTACCTGCACTCTTCAGTGAGGAGAAAATAACTCTCAGTGATCTTCAGCTATCTTCTGTCCCAGGGTGACCTGAAATGATGCATTAGAGCCCTTTCTTGCCTCTGTTAAGAGTACAGCTACAGGTTTTAGATTTTTCTCGCTCTGTTAGTAAAATAGACCCCCTATGGGGCCAGGCACAAATCTAAACAGAAACTCTCTAGATGCCCTGAAAATTTTCACTAAGACAAAGTTCTAAGTTTAAAAAAAAAAAAAGGTCCAATTCACTGAGAGTTGACTTTAGAACTCCTTATGGCCGGACTGCACCTCTCTACAGGAGGTCTCAGGCTGAGGCAGCTTGCAACAGTAGTCTGCTTTCACATAGGAGAACAGCTGTCAGAAAAGCAGTTTACACTTGTGTTCTACATATGCTAACTAGGAGTTAAAGGGGATTTTTAGCTAACCTTTCTCTTCATGTGCATGTAGAAAACTGATAGATGTGCCTTTACTAACATGTAAATTGTGGTTGGTAGGCAGTGGGTATGTTTAACCTGTGAGCTTCAGCAACATTGAAGTTTTAGAATAGACTTTGAACAAAATGTAACCTTGTCTTGCTGCTAG